GAGACAATCATGGGATACGTGTGGACCTATTCTGTTCTGAATACTCATGTGGAGACAATCATGGGATACGTGGGGACCTATTCTGTTCTGAATACTCATGTGGAGACAATCATGGGATACGTGGGGACCTATTCTGTTCTGAATACTCATGTGGACACAATCGTGACAACCTATTCTGTTCTGTATACTCATGTTGAGACAATCATGGGATACGTGGGGACCTATTCTGTTCTGAATACTCATGTGGAGACAATCATGGGATACGTGTGGACCTATTCTGTTCTGAATACTCATGTGGAGACAATCATGGGATACGTGGGGACCTATTCTGTTCTGAATACTCATGTGGAGACAATCATGGGATACGTGGGGACCTATTCTGTTCTGAATACTCATGTGGAGACAATCGTGACAACCTATTCTGTTCTGTATACTCATCTGGAGACAATCATGGGATACGTGGGGACCTATTCTGTTCTGAATACTCATGTGGAGACAATCGTGACAACCTATTCTGTTCTGAATACTCTTGTGGAGACAATCATGGGATACGTGGGGACCTATTCTGTTCTGAATACTCATGTGGAGACAATCGTGACAACCTATTCTGTTCTGAATACTCTTGTGGAGACAATCATGGGATACGTGGGGACCTATTCTGTTCTGAATACTCATGCGGAGACAATCATGGGATGCAGAGACATCGTGACAACCTATTCTGTTCTGAATACTCATGTTGAGACAATCATGGGATACGTGGGGACCTATTCTGTTCTGAATACTCATGCGGAGACAATCATGGGATGCAGAGACATCATGACAACCTATTGTGTTCTGAATACTCATGTGGAGACGATCATGGGATACGTGGGGACCTATTCTGTTCTGAATGCTCATGCGGAGGCAATCATGGGATATGTGGGGAATTATTCTACTTTGAATACACTTGCGGAGACAATCATGGGATATGTGGGGACCTATTCTGTTCTGAATACTCATGTGGAGACAATCATGGGATGCAGAGACATCGTGACAACCTATTCTGTTCTGAATACTTATGCGGAGACAATCATGGGATATGTGCGAATCTATTCTGTTCTGAATACTTATGCGGAGACAATCATGGGATACGTGTAGATTTATTCTGTTCTGAATACTTATGCGGAGACAATCATGGGATACGTGCGGATCTATTGTGTTCTGAATACTCATGTTGAGACAATCATGGGATACGTGCGGATCTATTCTGTTCTGAATACTCATGCAGAGACATCGTGACAACCTATTCTGTTCTGAATCTCATGAGAGATGATTGAATTCAAATCATGCTAAAATTCAAGAGGATCTGGGATTGGGGACACAAGCAGAGATCATGTGTGATTGAAGAGGCTGGAAAACAGTTTCAGGTGTCTGCCTTGGCCACAACTGACCACCTCCGTTTCTTAACAATTTTGGATCTGCCTCCTGCTGGATCTCCCACAGTTTCACTCTCACTCAAATCCTCAATTACATAACACATGTACTCACAAAGATTAACTGATAAGTTTTCTATATACATGTATTACAGAAACATATATACAGTATATAATTGATGAATACATTCTATGTAAAACAAAAACATATTCAGTGTATAATTGATGAATAAATGTACAAAAGCATATCTCATGTTTATGACATACACAGATATACAGATACTTCAGAATACCTCAACACATTGATATATTGAACCCTTGACAACTATCTCAGACATGCAACCAAACAATCAACAACCAAACATTCAGCAACCAAACATTCAACAACCAAACAGTCAACAACCAAACATTCAGCAACCAAACACTCAACAACCAGTCAGCAAGCAAACACTCAATAGCCAAACAGTCAGCAACCAGACAGTCAGCAGCCAAACAGTCAGCAGCCAAACAATCAGTTATCAAATAGTCAGCAGCCAAACAGTCAACAGCCAAACAGTCAACAACCAGTGAGCAATCAAATAGTCAGGAGTTTCAGAAAACTTTTTCCTGACTGGACTTGAAAAGCTTCACTATCAATACAAGAAGGGTGTTGACGCAGAGTTGGCTGTGCACATGTTTTGCAAATCCTGCAATCGACAGTAATCTGCACAGAAGTTTACGAACATGATGGCGATTTCATTATGCCATTTGGATTGGACTATGCATAGACTTGTTAGTTGAGCCAAAATGTAACAACAGAATTCCAACTTAGTTAAGCAAGTGTGGAAATTTTTATAGTCCCTTGCCTTGGGTACCGGTAGATGTTTTGCAATTGGATTTGGATGGATTTACATGCAGTGGGAAATTCATTGGACCATGTTGGGACAAATTTGGACTATATTTTAGCAAGAAGTAAGATTTTTTAATTGCATCCACTGACACATGCTTATCATTATTGTGACTAATTTGATGTTAGTTAGACTGCCACAATTAATTGTTTCATATGTTGTTGTGTGATCTCTCTTGTTATGAATGCAGGCTGTGTAATGGAACCTCTGGTTACAACATCAACAATTCGGAATATTTGATTTACTCTAATTTTCAAATGTCACCCTGTTGGTATACTCACAACATGAGGACAGTGATCATACATGCATATATAGACTAGGCAGAATCTGCAAAAATGTCTATATTTAAGGAGGTGGAAGCAAATTCTGTTAATTTATAAATGAGATTCCTTTCACACCTGTTTGTATATGCCGAATCCAAATCAAGTGTATGCCATGCATGAATTTGAGTTTTAAGAGCCATAAATGGCAGGTAACATAACAAAAATTTGCTTTTTTGTGTCATATTTCTAGATAGACGTCAGTGTATCTTGATATTATTGTGCGATTGTGCAGCCGCCTTCTTACTTATTGATATGTATATGTAACTCTCTACAATTGGTGATAAAATATAAATGGCACTGTCTTATATACTGAGGGAAACAAAAAAGGGAACATGTAAAAGTACAAGTGTTCCTTTATTTTTTTCTCCAGATTTCCATCAAGCTTTGTATTGCATTGAGGGTGAAAGTCTGGGGAAAAGCTGAAGTATAACTTTTTTCAGTTCATTGAGGTATGAATCGAAAATAATGTTCATAGGACCTGTCAATAAAGGCACAAGACGAGAAGAACTGCAACAGTCAGACTGTAACGAGCAGGAACAAATATGTCTGGGAGAAAGCAGTTGTTTCAAATGGCATGGCAGTTACCGCCAGCTTCAAACATTAGGTCCCTGAGAATGGGAAGACACAGTTGGAAAAATGTCAGTTAGAAATAAAACCCGAAGACATGAAAGTTGTGGAATGGAGGCGAGCGGGTAAAAAAACAGGCGAGCAAGCCTGCACACAGTTTCATTCCTTCTCGGGTTCAGTCCCAAAGGGTTGTTTGGACAATGAACATGCATACATTTTGCTAAATGTCCTGTGCATTACGATACAGGTGTGCAGAAAGGGAATTCTGTCGACTGTAATATTGTGATTCTCCAACATTCCTTAAAAGTAGTCATTGGGAAATAAATCTAATAACACGTGACTAACTCAGCTAATTAGGATGCAGGAATTTTAATGAACACAATGAAAATTTAAAAATTAGTAAATCAACCTCATTCGATGCATACATTCAGCTAATTAGGATGCAGGAATTTTAATGAACACAACGAAAATTTATATATGAGTAAATGAACCTCATTAGATGCATACATAGCCATGAATGTATTAGGCAACTTTCATTATTTAGTAATTCACACACAATTTATGACACAGATAGTTCTCATTAATTTATTGACTGAAGACCAACAAACTGATGTACCAGACTTTGTACCTTGATAAATAAGCAGGTAGCTTTTCGTCACTGCCGCCATCATCGTCTTTGGTGTTCCGACAGTTGTCACAAAATGTCCTGCACTTGCATGCTTTAATGCAAGGTAGGCGTAGTTTCTTGCAGCTACAACGTTGCCTGAGACATCCCTTCATGCACCCACATGATATGATCTCACTGCAACGGGATGATATAGGAGGCAGATAGATGAGCCTTGGCACAAGTTGGCCGTCCTGGTACACCCATCCCATTTCTCTCAGTGGAGGCAGATCTGGACTAGGAACATGCGCTTGGTTCCTGATATTTGCTTCATAACATGCACACATGATATGGCATGGGGCAGCATCTGAGGTCAGTGGAAGAGTGTCTTGTGTACGACCTATACAAAACTTGACTCGTGCTTTGTCGCATGTGTCTATGTGTAACTCCGTCATGCCATACAGCTTTCAGATGAACTTCTATGATGATATTGCTACGTTTTCAGTGAGATGAATTTTGCCAAGCCCAATCAAGTCCTTGTGATGATCCTTGAACACTTGCCATGCTTTCCTCTTGCCATGACCACTTAGCTGAGATGTATAGTCACATGTTGATATTGGATGAAAGTATTGTGTCCACTTGATCAGCACGAAGCGACCTGTGGATATCATGTACCGGAAAGTACTTGGAGCCTTTGAAGTGCCAGCTTTCATGCAGAGATTTTTATATGTCATTGAGTCATAATGTGCTAGAAGTAAAAGAAGCACATCTGTGGCATTAGCTGATATGACTATTGTCTCCATGTGGGCATGGGTGCAATGCAGAATCAGCACTAAGTGTGGAGACATTGACTTTGGGATCAGACGCCTTGATGGTGATCACTTCCGTAAATCCACCTCCTGTAATCTGATGGGCTGTTTTCAAAGAGATGATCAGAGAGAAGTAGAGCGAGCTCTGCTTTATTTTCCTCCAAGGCAGGAAGTTTGACCAGTCAGATTGGATAGGGACAAACTTATTCTCTAAACGACGACGCACTGGTTGGTTTCTCTGCTTGTGTTTGGTCCTAGTGTCAGCTTTGATTGATTCCCCACAATACCTGTCAAATACTATGTCAATTCTCGCATGTTGCTCAGGAAGAAAAATATTAATGAACCCCATTTTACCTCACCATACCTCTTGTACTTTTGATGACAGAACAACAACTGACCTTTAAAGAAAGGGCACATCTTGTCCAGGGCTCCAATGGGTCCACGCCGCGTGTACTGTCCGATGGCCATTTCCATGTATGTGAGAGGGACTCCACACAAGACCAGCATGATGAAGAATGGGATGAGAAAGGCCCCTGCAACAGACACATTAATTCTTTATCACATACAAACACTGGGAAATGCATGCACGTGTGTGTGTGTCTCTGTTTGTACTATTCCGGACTAATGCCAATTTTATAGTGCTGGCCCACTGAGATACCATGCCGCAGTTTAACATGAATACTCCACTCCAAGCTGACCAGTCCTAATTTTAGCCCTTAATGCTGAGTGCAAGGCAGGGTAACAAGTACCATCTTTTAACATCTTTTGGTATGACTGACCAGGGACCTTCCACTCGCCGGGCAGACGCACCACCACCAGAGACAATATGATGGTGTATAAAAGATAATGTGACATGTAAATTGACAGAGGCGGTTAGTGAGGGAGTATGGTTCTAAAAACCCTGGAAACACAATACTAGGCTAGGAGATTTAGAGCCAACAGCGGGGGAACCCAAAACAAATTGGGGCAAATCTGTGAATAGAATGATCATGGGATTCTGGTTCAACTCAGGGATGCAACTGACGGCACATTAAAATTGTGGTTCCTCAGAACACTTAACTTGGCCTTTGCTGGTTAATCTTAACACAATCGGCTATTTTCAGTGAAAATAGTCCTCTGAAGTGACTCGCAGCCCGTCATGTGATGTAAACATCCTAGTGTGCAGATGACAGTAATGAATGGCTTGTCATAAGTAAGAAACTGTATCTGATGTGACAAAAAGTGGCCGTTTGCATAAGTTATGTGACTCATCTTACGTTTACAATAGTTTTTAAAAGTTATTTATGCTCACTGGTATACTGCGTTAGACCCACTCTGGACATTTGTTTACATCAACATGTTGGAACTATATTTTCAAACCATTGTTGTATATGAATATATTTTGAATACATTTTGCATCAATTCTACTGAATAAGTAGCTAACCTGTTAAAACGATGAGAAATCATGGGGTATACTCACACCCTGCTCAAACAAACATGGACCCCAGTACCAAATTTACCCACTATTACATTTGTAATAATGAAATACTTGTGTATATAATTTCACATAATGTCAAAGGCTATATAACAGTCATTGTACTAATGATGAAGGGACTGGACATGACAGGTTGATGTTGACGTTGTGTAATGCCGCACTCTGCAATATTCAAGCTATATGACAGCGGTCTGTAAACAATTGAGTCTGGACCAGACAATCCAGTGACTGACATCATGAGCATTGATCAACGCAATTTGGATACCGTGACATGCATCAACCAAGTTAGCGAGCCTGACCATCTGATTCCGTTAGTCGTCTCTTATGACAAGCACAGTCGCCTGTTATGGCAAAGCCTTGATTGCTGAAGACCTATTCTCTATACCCAGATCTTCACAGGAATTATGTTGGTCCTACCCATGTTGTTTATCAAGTTGAATGATATAGTATACACTCCTAAATGCAAAAAATAAGCGGTCATGTTCTGTCGTGTCACTGGGTGACCTAACCCTATCACACATGTTACATTCATACGTCTTACATATTTCACCCATCTTACATGTCATAAGTCTTACAAATATCACACGTTACATATATCACACATGTCACATGTCATACATCTTACACATGTCACACATCTTATACATATCACACGTTACATGTATCACACATGTCACATGTCACACATCTTATACATATCACACGTTACATGTATCACACATGTTACATGTCAAACATCTTACACATATCACATGTTACATGTATCACACATGTCACATGTCATACATCTTATACATATCACACGTTACATATATCACACATGTCACATGTCATACATCTTATACATATCACACGTTACATGTATCACACATGTCACATGTCACACATCTTATACATATCACACGTTACATATATCACACATGTCACATGTCATACATCTTATACATATCACACGTTACATGTATCACACATGTTACATGTCAAACATCTTACACATATCACACATCTTATACATATCACACGTTACATGTATCACACATGTTACATGTCATACATCTTACACATGTCACACATGTTATACATATCACACGTTACATGTATCACACATGTCACATGTCATACATCTTACACATGTCACACATCTTATACATATCACACGTTACATGTATCACACATGTTACATGTCAAACATCTTACACATGTCACACATATTACATATATCATATGTGTTACATCTACATACGGCTAACAATAGCCTTAACTGCGCATGGGAAGTTTTGTGACACCCTGATAAGATTACCAAATATCAAGGCTACCGTATTTTCTTGAGTATAGTGCGCACTTTTTTTCGAAAAAACACAGCTGTGTAGAAGGGGGTGCGCATTATACACGAATTATGAGTTTGGATGTTTTTTCCCCCCCATGGAAAGACATTACCGTGAGCACGAAACACCGGGAATACCATGTCAACAAATCCATACTGAAGTACGCAAAATAATTATGTAATTACACTGTCTGGCTATAAAAAGTGTTCTTTGTATATCTGGACTTATGTTTGTAACTTATTTCATTGATTTTATTCAAAATTCCTTATAATATTGTTTTTATTAATTTCGGCGAAATCGTGTGTGAAGCGATCGGAAGATCGCACAACTCACCGTTATTAACAGCAACCACGGTCAGAATACCGCTATTGACGCCTTGAAACAAACTTTAGTTGACAGAGAATGGATACATATATCATAAATGACATACTTTGACTCGTTAAAAGTCATATTTGTTTTTGTTTAACGATTCTATGTCAACATGAAATTCTCGCGATCACATGAGCCTTGACGGTGACTGGTCAGACATGTTCCATGTAAAAAATAATACCCGGGAATAGCGGTCAGCTGCTTCGCTTAGGGTTATTATTATTTTAAATATGTTTAGTAAAGGTTGCATATAATTAAGAAAATAATGGAATATATTATTCCTGATAAATAAAATAGTTTCAGATACAATTGTTGCCGATCCTTGCATTAAAAATCTTATAAAGTTATATCATTGGGTGTGTCTTGACCGAATCACCGGTCGATTCCAAGAAAGTGTGTGTACAGCTGATTGCTGTTTCCAGCTTAGTTTACGAGAAAATACGCAAGGTAATCTTAATCCCTAAATATAAAACAATGCCTAGCAGAACAATAAATACTATTTAAACGGTAAATAAACATGTCTGGTGATTTTTTATCTCAAATTTCGAATTTGTACTGACGAAGTTTCTCAGCACCCGTTCGTTTGCCGGACTTCGCTGAAAGGGTACGGTGTAAAAAAATTCTGCGCATAATATTCAAATTTCTTTTTTTTCCAAAATATTGAACCCGCTAGAGGGGGGTGCGCATTATACATGGGTGCGCACTATACTCAAGAAAATACGGTACTTTTGCAGGTGTTATTGTTGATAAGTAGGAAGCAGCCTGATGAAATGGTAACTCAGTGTCAGTCCATGAATATTAAACTATAGGTGTCAGTCCATGAATATTAAACTATAGATGCATGAGTGTGTGAGCTTGTGCGTGATTGAGCAAATAATTTGGCGTGTGTGCCTGTGTGTATGTGTGCGGGCGTATCATGTGTGTTATTGAATTCCTTAACATAACATTAACTATTGTGTAGGTATATGTCTCAATTTATCTTATTCTGATCTATGACTTAATATATATGATTTTATATTAGTGTCTCATAGGCCATACCTGGTCTGAAGTTACATACTATTGTCTGTGTACATGTGTTTTAGTATGAAGTTTATATGTTGATAATTACAACCTCCGCAACAGCTTGCCCCCTTCTACTACTGAGTCAGCAAATCAATCAATCATTCCAGAATCTGCGGAGTCACTGAGACGTTTCCCCTGATCTTCCAAATCACAGGCATTAAGCCATGGTCGCTAATTACACAGCAGCCAAGAATGGCCATGCAGGACAAGGTCTACCTGGTACCTAGAAACATATTGATTTCTCTTCCTCTGATGTGCCACATCATGACTTGAATTGCTGCGTCATGCACCTGAATCAATATCATGACACAGCAAACCTACATATTTGCAGCCAATCCTTATTTATAGCACCTGTCCTGAAGTTTCAAACATAAAGAAACAAAATGTTGTATGATTAAAAAATGTTTATTTGGAAAAAGATAATTTTTTTGTCATGAACTTTGTTAACCTAAACAGATGAACCCAGATAAATATTTTCCTGCCCCTCCTGAAGACAGGTGTGTTTACAATATCTGCAGCACAAAACTGGTGTGTGATGTGTCCACTGTCAGCGCATGAGTGAATGAATGAATCTGATGTGACAGCACACCCTCTTTATTCCCTTACATTTGTTTGTTTGTTTGTTGCCTAACTTCATACTCAGCTATATGACGGCGGTCTGTAAATAACTGAGTCTGGACCAGACAACCCAGTGATTGACATCATGAGCATCGATCAATAAACCAAGTCAGCGAGCCTGACCACACTATTCCATTTGTCACCTCTTACCAGAAGCATGGGTTGCTGAAGATCAATTCTAACCTGGATTCACTGATCCAGTGACTTAAACTTGTGACATCCTAAGGAGACACCATGTCTTTACTAAGTCTCACCGACTCAGGCGTTTTACTTAAATACAATACCTCTGTGTGAATACCAGAGGACACTTCCACAGGAGGTCATGTAAGGTCACCTTTCTAATGAGCCAATGAGCATTGAGGCACCTAAAATATTGGTACCAGCATTTTATATCCTTATCTCTTATCTGTATCTCTTACTGTGAATATAGTCAGTTTAATCTGAATGCAAATACAATTAAAGCCATGCCATTTTATACAGCTTGTCGTTTCTGAGCACCACATAGAACCCAACAGTGTACGTACTGTCAAGGCAATAGTTGTTCTGTGGTGATTTCCTTTTGCTGAGCTAAACATTTCCAAATCGATGTGGTAAATGAAGCCAAATTGTTTTAGATAGCTGACTTCCGATTTGCTCAAGACCCCACTTCTGTGGTCTAGTGGATGGAGCTTCTGCCTGGAGAGCC